CTACCGAAAAGCAGGGGAACTATCTGTATAGGGTAAAATTGGTCCGTAATAAATGATCAAATAATAGCACACCGCGTGAAACCGAAGATAGGTAAAAGGTGAATCACGTGATAACTAGCACCCGGAACAACAGTAGCGGGTGGTATCGAATAGACCCCGAAAGGATCCTGGTTAATGGGAGCGGTTCAAATGTTTGCCATCGGATAGCATTCAAAGAATATTCTTTGACATTAAATGGGCAGTCGTTGCTGAGAATATTTGCATTCATGGCTTGCGCTTCATATTCATCAATGGCCCCCTTTATTGTCACTTAAGAGAGACTTGATCTTAGGATCTTGTTTTTCTAGATATAGTTATAAATAGCAGGCTCAGTAACCATTGTTACATACGAAATTCTTAGCAAAACTTGTGTTGTATTACACTTTTGCTCTCAATTAAAATAATTTTATTTGCTTTCGATATTGTTCTTATTTATGTCCTCGAAGACGTTGTTCTCGGAGCTAGGCTTGCCATCTTTTTCAATCTTAATTGTTAAGTCTTACTTTTAATCTTATTTATTTACCATTGTAGCATCAAATCAGTTCGCTTGTTTATAAACCACGTAACAAATTCAATTATACCGTTTTATGGATAAACAATAATAATATTCAAAAAGGAAACACATGGAGAAGGGACATAAAACCTTACCTCTCTTTTTACAACAAGTAAGGAAGGCAAAAAATTACATATTCTAATATCCTTTCCATTGTGAGCACCAAATTTATAATTTGATCCTATAGTTATAACCAGTTAAGCTTCCACAACATCTGAGGGGAATGCTCCCTGTTATATATGTGCAGAACCATTACTTCAAAAAGTTCCATTCTTGTTCTTTCTCCTAATAAATTTTGAAATTGTGAAGTTGAATTTGATCCATTCTGGAGCATCCAGGCCGATGGCATAATTGTTGCAATTTAAGTTTTGAGGTCTCAAATGCAAACACCTCAAAGGGCCAGGGGGATGTTACGTGAATTATTATGTGAGTTTTGATTTCTTGACGTTCAAAGAGTACTACTACAAATTAAACCATGCTATATGAACATGATCGAGAGAAGAATGTCACCTATGGTGAAAATTATGTCCTCAATATTAACTGACTCAATAAGTTAAACTTCATAATATTTCATGATGGCCAACAAAACAACAAAGAGAAAAAACACCCCAAACAAAAAAAAAAAGGAAGAAGAAGAAGAGAAAGCACCGAAATGCTTAAATGGATTCACATGTAATATTCTTGAATGGTAAAAATTAATAAGCGTTATGGAAGAATAAGTCAATTCTTTTTATGAAATCATATACTATAATGTTTGGTCAATTATTTGGGGGCACATGGACTAGAATGAATTAAGTTTCCGATCATCTTGCTGCATCCATCTTGGAGACAATGAAGCTAGATAACATATAGCAATCAAGAATGAAAGGACATGCTAACCGATTAGGATCACAATTTTAAATATTTAGGTAGTCACACATTATTTAGGGTGTGTCCGTTAGAAAGAAAAATGTTTTCCAGGAAAATGAGTGATTTTATCATTAATTTTTTTTTGTTTGATTGGCGACTGAAAAAAATTGGAAAAATATTTCTAGTGTTTGGTTAGAGAATGGAGTAGAATATTTTTTAGGAAAATAATTTTTATGTTATTCTCCTCACCTCCCCTTTCCCATCTCCATGTTTC